GCCACCCTCAGCCAACAAGGGCGCTCCGCCCGTGATGCCGGCCCTTTCCCCATCCCACCTAGCTCAAAGACAGGTGCCTCTTCTTGGGTACCTGGGATTGTCTTCCAGCCTTTGCCAGCACTCTGAAGCCAACATGGTGTCCATGAGGTGCTACCCTAGAGCCTCACAAAGGACCAAGAAACTGGTAAGTTCTTAGTAGATATTTCTACAATGAATGGGACTAAAGTTCGAACTGAAGAAGCCTAGCCCTTTTTTGGAAATTCTCCTCCAGTGCTCTACAGCAGTTGGTCACTCAAGAAGCCATTATTAACTGTGGCAGTTTGCAGGGACACCAAAGAGAAGGGTCCATATCCCTCCAGTGACAGAGCCAGCCCAAAGAAAATGCTTACAAGAAATGCAGCTCCATATTATACTGAAAAGCAGCTGTCTTGTTCACAGAAGGGACATGGACAAGGGTGGGAAATGGGGTCCATCTCTACTTTTGGGGGAGTCATCAAAGACCTTCTGCAAAGAAATGTGCAGCACTGTGATGCTCATGCATGGTCAGTTTTGCACACCACTGGATACTTGGCAATTTCTGGAGGTCATGTTTGGGGAGGAGCCAGGGATATCCCCTGCCCTCTGAATCACACAGCCCCAGATGCTGGCCGCATGGATGCTGAAGAGGCTGCTTCCAGCAGTTACAAGCAGGGGATTCAAGTCAGCCAGATATGATTTCATGGGGCTCAATACTTAACTGCTGTGATCCTCCATTCCCTCATCAGTGAAACGAGGGCACTGATAGCACCTATTTATGAGGCTCATTTCCTCCTGTGAGGATGGAATGAATTGGTGCACACTGAAAGCTTGAGGGCAGCGCCGGGCTCATGCATTTAAACGGTTTTTGTTCTCGCTGTTATGACGGACCTAACAATTACCAAGCTGGGACAGAAACCCATGAGCTTTGCCCACATCCCAGGCTCTTTTTACCCAAGAAAACTTCCCCAGTGGGGTGTGAGGCATAACTTGGTTGATCCTGAAGTCCATCTTAATGCCCCCTAGCAGGTCCAATCAATTCTCGGGGTGCATGACAGCGATGGCCAGGCCCACAGCAGGGCAAGGTGCACGAGAGAAGGCTCCGAGCTGACCTGCTCCTCCAGAGAAGCATTGCCCACGCCTGTCCACTTCCACACAGGGTTTCCTGGTACACACATGGAGACTGGGACAGTCGGGGGTCTGGAGGTCTGGTCACAGTGCCGGGGCTCTTATCGGAGAAGGTCTCCTTCTGTCCTGCCTCAATGCTCCCTGGGGCACAGAAGGGGGTGTCCTGCCTGTGCCCACCTGGGAAGGCAAAGGAGGTCTGGGACCTGTGGTAGGCCCAGGACCCCTGTGGTAAGACACAGTACCTTGGCTTGCCAAAGCAGAGGCCGGAGGAAGGTCATCTCGGTAGCTGGTAATAATTCATACAAAAGCCATATGACACTTCAGGGGCATGAATAACAGTGTTGCAATTTCCAAAGAGCCTGTTTGTGTCATGGTTTTTCTCCTGTCTTCCCTTTCTTCCTTCTAGACCCAAATTTTATCCTGCCAGCAGTCTCACAACGGCCTCAGCGTGGCTGCTCTTGCTGCCTGAGGCCTCCCTCTGACCTGTTCATTCTTCTTTCCTTTCCTGATCCCCTTCTTCTCCTTCTTAGGAGAAGCCTTCTTCTCATTTTGACATTTCACATTGCTGCCAGAGTTGGCCTTGAACTCATGATCCTCTCATCTAAGCCTCCAGGGTAGCTGGCACTGCAAGCCTGTGCCCTCACACTCAGCCTTGTGGTCCTGGTTGACTCCATGCCCAGGTATTGGGCTGAGCCATCCCCGGCCCCGTGTTGAATCACAGCCTCCCTCCAACCCTGGCTGTACACCGCCACATTTACAGCTCACTGCGTGCATCCAAACGGGGTGCAGGAGGTGCTTGCTAAAACACCGTTTCATCTTGCGCTTGGTACTGAGGTCGAGCACATGGATCTGTGCAGAAAATGCTCTTTAAAATGCATTACGTGCATGCGTTTAAAGAGATGCCTGCTGCTCGGTGAATTTCAAAAAGGAGCAAGCCAGTGATGAATGACCTCGGTTGTTACCAGGCTAAGGAACTAGGGGCTCTGTCTGTCTGCCGGTAAATAAAGCGTGGACATCTATCACCCACAGAGTTCTGCGTGAGGGAGGCCTTAAACCTGTTGGACAGCAAAGCAGCTTGCAGCTCATCAGAATATCACAATAAGGTTCTGGATGAAACACAAAGAGTCACAGCAGTGGGGGAGGGTCTCAGGTTTGAGACTCTCCTGCGCGCTCCTGACTGTGAAGTGGCATCTAGGTATAAAGGATCCATTCACAGGCTGCTGTGGGGTACAGATAAACAGGTGTGGCTGGGCTGCTTTTCTGTTGTTCGCAGAGATTGTGTTTTTGAACTTTCCAGCCTGGATGGTACTGTGAGACAGGTCCTGGACAGATCTGGCTTAGAAGGGGAAGAAATGAGCTGACTTCCTCAATGGTATGTTAATTACATGCCTCTGCTTCCACTGGTTCCACATTGCTGTGAAATTAGAAACGGAACCATCGATTAGCAAGCCATTACTAGATACGCCTTTGTCCAGAGCTCCACGTGTAGGTGCCATGGGACAGATTTTCGAGCTACGGGAATCCACACAAGTTCTCAGGACTCCAAGGCCCCTGTTGAGCCCCACGTCGCCGAGCAGATGGGCTTGGCAGGTGGATCTGATGCCTGCTTTGGGGGTAAAGCGAAGCAGCTTCCAGATGAGCCACATGTGCAGCAGCTCTCCTTCGGGGAGCAGGGGCACTGTCTGTAGACGGCCTCTCCAGGAGCTGCAAATCATCCCAGGGCTCCTCGGGCCTGGGTGCTGCCTTTGTCATGGGCGATGCACAGAAACAGGTGAGGATGAAGGATGGCTCTGTCCCACCAAGGTGAGCAGGTGCATAATCACCCTGGGACAAGTGCTTTGGGCAATTATTCACATGGACTATTTTTTCCAAGATGGACAGCTTCTCATCAGGGCTGGTGAGAGCTAGGTTTGTGACCTTGGACAAGTTATTTGCTTCCAGGAACTTCCCCCTCCCCTGTCTGCTGATGAACATCCCTGACAGCAGTCCTCGAGGTGCCTTTGTGAGCCCTGTCACCCCATCACTTCAATATTCCAACCCATGCTGGTTAAGCAAAGCAGTGAATGACGGTGGTACCGGTTCATCCTGCACAGAGAAGCAGGCTCCCTGCTCCGCTCCCCAGAGCAGGCCTCATCCATTAAGCAAGCGTTTATCGAGTGTTTGCTGGGTGCAGAGCTGCAGCCTGCTGCCTACTGGGGCCATTTTGGCTTGCTGAGCTCGGAATTCATGAGGTGAGTTGTTTGAATTTAATGCCAGACACATTTTCGTAGCAGGCTCCCCATCTTCTACTTGCTAAGAAGACAACAGTGCATGCTGTCAGGGTGGAAGCTCCCGTAAACCCCTGCCCGGGTTCAAATCCTGTATTTATCTCTTACCACCACCACAACTTGAGCAAGTGAGCTTGCCACTCTTGTTACAATGCTTTTAAAACAAAGCGCTGTGGCCAGAAAGCCATGCAGACCCTCCACCCAATGGACTTTTTCACTGCCTGAGCCCACAGCATGCGAGTGGCTCTGTCTGTGCTTTTGCTTTGTGACTTTGGGGCAGCACCTGTCTCAAGCTATTTATTTTTATCTTTATTTTCCTTTATTCTTTTTATTGGTACCAGGGATCGAACTCACAACCATGCACTTGCAAGGCAGGTGCTTTCGCCACTGAGCTAAATCCCTAGCTCCTTGTCTCAAGCTATTTCTGAGGGGCAACAGGGATGTCAGGTCCTTGGGCATTGTAGGGTTGCACTGATAGGATCACCTGGCCGAACATGATCTAATCAGTTTCCCAAAGCCCTGCCCCGACCACGTTGGGACTTTTGACAGATCTAAATAGTAATAGCCCACGAAGAGGCACCTTCATGTAGATCATCATTCACAGTTACAGGGGCAGGGCCATAAGCCCTGTACAGCTGTTTAAAACATCTAAAGCATTATTATCTCAACATGTGGCCATATAAAAAGCATTAAAATATTTTACATTCTCTTTCTCTACAATATTTTTTTAAAACCTTGCATGTACTTTTCTCTTATACCATATCTCAGCTCCAGAGCTAAGTTTTGATTGGAAGTAATGAACCTGTACTTAGATTTCATAAAACATAAAGAGGAAGGATGTACTCTAGCTATCCCAAACAAGTTTTAAAATGTTGCCATAACGGAACCAAGTGCTCCCAGTTTTAAATTCTAGTGGAGTCAAAGGAGACACGGGCCCTCGGGCACACTGGCCCTGATGGGTACTCTGAGAGGCCACCCGTGATAGTGGCTGCAGCTGAGCACCCTGGAGAATGTGCCCTCGTTGGCCCCAAAAGCCCTACATAGGACACCGAGCTCGGCACTAGCAAAGAGTGGGCTTGGGCTCTGCAGGGAAGGGTGAGTAGAGGGTCTCCAGGGCTGACCGGCTCCCAGACAGGGTCCTGCTGCAGGGCAGGGCTCAGGAGACCAGAGTCACCCATCCTTGCCCTGTCTTAGAGCACATGCCCACATGACTGCTGCAAATCGGACTGGCAGAACCTCCCAGTAGTTTCTCAATATGACCCAGAGTACCCCCCGCTCAGGGATCTTATGCCACCATCTGTGAGCAACCGAGGCTTGTGCTGTGTTTGAAATACTATCACGAGTTAAGTGGAAATGGGCCCCTGCGTGACTCATGCCTCCCACCTTCCTTTGGCTCCTGGAGCTAAGTGAAGGCAAGCTGACTATTGGCTCTACGGCGACCATCACATCTCCTTGGTGTTCTCTTTTTCTACTCTAAACCCTCTACATTCAATCCTAGCATCACGGGAAGAGAAACCTAGAAAGGAATTATCGGCCACTTTCACTTTAGTAAAAATTTGCTTCAAACCCACCTCTCTGGGGTTGACTTACAGCAGGACGTGTTGTAGGATCCTCAGCAGCAGAACTGGGAGGTTACAATCTCTGGCCAACCAGAGCCTGGATGGAGATAGAGAAGGAGCTCCCAGGATGCTGTGTGGTTGGTCCTGAGGTCATCCCTGAAACCAGGGAGCAGCCAACCAGGAAGTCACTGTGTTGTCGTGGACACCCGGGTCTGGCACCTCTTCCTCACAGCACCTTCACCTCAGCCTTCTCGTGAGCCACGGGGGCCACCATGGACCCTCTTCCTGCTATCTCAGGCCAACCCTGCTTCGATGGCCTTTTGTCCTAACACTTTCCCGGGCCCACTGCAGGGGTTTCCCGTGAGCATCTCCACGGGAGAGGGCCCATGTCCTTGCTCTGCTAAGGTGCTTGTCGCGTCGGCCTTTTACTCACCCTCCTGTCCACGGAAGTGGCAGTCAACACCTGTCTCAGCTATTGCGTCTTCGGTGCCTGGCCCCTGGTGGTTCCTTCTGAAGGGGGTTGGTTGTCAGTCTGCAGAGGAAACTCCACACAAGACACGTGCTTCCTGTTTGTCTTTCTATCCCAAGCCACCATGGCCAGTGTCTGGAACGTGATTGAACTTTAGTAAAGGTTTACTGGATGGATGGCTGAATGTGTGACGGCTGGTAGCCGAGAATGGAGGAGAGAGGGAATCTGGTCCTTCTGGGCGGCTGTGATCATAGGCACAGACCTGAGTGTTCTGTGAGTTCTGAAACTCCCACTCAGCCTAATCTCTTCCTGCACTGGCCACGAGTCCCATTTGTCTTGGGAGAGGGGACAAGGACTGTTTTTCACCGTCCAAACCAAACTGTGGCTTTTAAATTATGCACAGGTATTACTTTGATGGAAGGAAAAATGAAAGCAAGCCTATGTTTCTTAATTCATGTAATGAGAGTCGGAGGTCCAGAGACTCAGTGATGCGGGAAGGGTCCACCTGCAGGTCATCTACACTCAATCAAGTAGAGTACAGCCGGAGGAAGGACCGTGTGGCTCTGGTGTGCTGGCGTAGACTCTTGGGCAGTACCTCACCACACAGGAAAGGTACACGGCGAGGTTCCCAGATGACAGTGTCCTGGGATGGCGTGGAAAGCAGGAGGGGAGTGCACCCTCCACAGCTCCAAGAAGCAGGGTCCTTGTCCTTCACGTACCGTCCGTATTGCCCGGTATTTTCGTTGTTATCAGAAAAGAGCTTACTTTGACTCCGAAACACAGAAGTAGATTTAGGAGAAATAAACTAACTTTATGTCCTTGCTAGACTGCCACACGGTGTAAGAGACACTGGAGAGAGGAAAAGAGGAACCCGAGCGTTGAAGGTGGGGCTCAGCTCAAGAGACACGCAGTCCAGTCGGACAGAAGGGGCTCCCTGGGAATTAGTCCTCGTTGGTCTTCCGGTTGACTGCTGTTAAAATATAAGACACCCATCTCTGAGTAACTGCTTTAAAGGTAACAACACACAAGGTACTAACTATTGTTATGCTCCTATTATTTTGTCACCAAATTTTGTTTTACTTATTTTTCCACTAAAAAAGTACTCTTTAAAGTGCAATTTTAGATAAGTGATAGATGATTTTTCTCTAGTCTGTTCCATGAAATGCTTGGGACATACTTGTACTAAAAAGTAACTGTTTGTCTACAGTCTCAGTGTGCCATGTCCTGTATGCGCAGTTGCCAAATTCGGCAATCCTGTGCTCGGGAGCCCGGGGGACCCCTGAAGCTTGGTGAGAACTGGGTGCCTGTTTCAGGAAGGGTCATGGGGCTCCTGAAAGACCCCTCAGGGCCACAGACCAGAGCTCAATGAACTTCTTCTAAACACTACATAGTAAATAAATTCCACAGAAGTATCTGGAAAAGACACATGAATGGGTGCCAGTTAGATGCAGGAAATTCAAGTTTGGGTTCTCACAGATAAATCTGGTACATCAGTAAAAATATTTTTCCTCTCTTGATTTTTCCTTCCCACCACATAGAAAGGTAAAGACTATGCTTTGCTGGCAGGCTAGATTTTGCCCACAAGCCCCAGTTTTCTGACCCCGTATTTTTTTCCAAAACAATCTTCCTAGCACGATTCCCTGCAGTGCCCACCTCTTGGTTGCTAGAGCCCAGACGCCCCTTTTGAGGTGTGTTTACATGAAAAGCGAGCTCGGCACCAGCCAGGACAGCATTGTGTGAGAGGTGGTTGTCATGGGAGGCATAGGGCTGGGACCTGCTCTCTCCATGGGAACCAGGTGGCTCTAGTCTGGGGTTAAACTGCAGGGTCACCCTGAGCCTCGTGATCTCTTCTGGAGACGAAGACTGGAGTGGCCACTGCTGGGTGGTGGAGAGAGAGATGCTAGCTGAGGTGCCCCTTTGTAGCAGGAGGACAAGGGCACCAGGGCCCCAAGCAGCTCACAGGAAGCACTTGGGGCTTCAGGAAGGAGAGGAGGAGGACTGATCAGGGGTCTGCACAGCAGGGTAAGGGCTGCTGATGGCCAAGCCAGCAGTCACTGGGCGTGGGTCCCCTCGCTCGGGATGTCAGGAGGAGATGTGAGGTAGCTTCCAGCTTCACTGCCCTTTGTTTTCCTCTCCCTGAGCCACTTGCTAGTCTTCCAGTTGGACTATGTCAGTCTCAGTAGAGAAGCCACAGTATGTGTGGAATGGTCCCTCCAGCATGGCCTAGAGGATGTCTGTGACCCTCCAGCCTCATCCCAAGGGCCTAGAAAGCCACTGGCTAGGAGAGGCAGTCCCCAAATGGTTGAATAAAGCCCATCAGTTCTGAGGTTTGGTCCTCTTTACTTGGTTACTTTTAGGGAATTCAAATGTTCTTCTTTCACGACACATGGCTGACCTTGAATTCACAATGTAATCAGTAGCTGCTTTTTTAGGCCCTTTCTTGACGAAAAGTGACCATCTCCCTTCCTATGATTATGTTTGTGTATTATTATTCTATAAAATCCCAAATCTGGGGAACTGTTTCCTCCGTAAGTAAACTAGATCACTACATCACTGTGTTAACGGAATGAAGAGTAATCCCCAAATGCCCAAAATAGTTTATGGTGATCCACTGCCCCTCTTTTCTACCCAGGATTTTAACATGGTTTTAGTCTCCTTTTTGAGGTTTGTAAAACAAGGTATTACTAAGCACTTACTACTGATCCCGAAGAAGGTACAGAGGTAACTCTTTCTGATTCAAAGCAACAGGCCTAGAAGGCTATTTCGAGGAGGGCTGGACGACAGAAGCTGGAAATTCTGTGTGATCTGGCTCATCTGCTCCGTTTCCGTGTGGCTCTCAGCTCCCTCCGCAAGCTGGTGGCTGAGCGCTTGGGGAACAGAGTCAGAGGTGGGAAAGTCAGACATGTGACTAATAAGCCATTGCACCTGCACAGAACAGCATAAGAAAAAGAAAGTGATCTGGGCCCTCAGAGACCACAGGTAGCCCCTGCGGAGGGCGAGCGAAGAACAGACAGGCTGAAATTTCATTAAGAGGGTCTTGAAAAATCAACCTGTCAGGATTAGACTCTTGTTCTTTCCAAGTGGTTTCTGAATTTTCAGAGTTTTTTTTTTTTTTAAGGAAATAATTCTATAGCTCCTTTTCCCCAATCAGCTGCCTGTCTTTGAAATTAACCATTTCTCTGGCTTTCCCTCTGATTGGAATCAGGTTCCTCCTCAGTCTTTCTGAAGTGCTATTGTGCTATGTGTTATTGGCTTAGCCACACATAATGCAACTTTGAAATGTGATGGGAAAAAAATTAGCATTTTCAGTGAACTGGAAAGAATGTATCTGATTTCAAAATGTGTACTTAAAAAAGAAAAAGCACAACCAAACTGATTCTATCAACTATAGGGCTCATTCTGCCAGGCCAAATTCGAAATGCATTTTTTGCAAAAGGACAACTTTATTTATGAGTTTTTTAAGGGAAAGAAATATGAAGACCCAGGTATAGGTTGGGGGGAGCATCCTGAGGAATTAATATCGCTCGGATTAATCAAAGCGCCTGCTTTTAAGCTGTGTGCCCCCACAGAGGAGTGAATTAATGAGCAATTTATGCAATGAATATATTTTTTTCTTTCATTATCTAGGTATTTCAGAGGAACATGCTTCTTCTGACTTGAATTCTCCAGATACTTCTCTGAAATTTTAGCTTCACTTTGCATGTATAATTACAGCCTCAAGTTGTTTGGAGAGCAGGTCCCAAGGCAGTCAAAAGCTCCTGCACCCCCACCTTCATGCAAATCCAGCCGCTGGCTCACCACTCAACTCATCTCTCCTCTGAATCCTTCCGAGGAAGAAGCATCCATTTCAGAATCACCCTTAGGCCAGCGTTGCCGGAGTTGGTCTGGGGAGGGGTGCTTGAATAAGAATGCAGACAGCCCTGTGCCACTCCAAGAGACTCCAAACCAGCAGGTCGAGGGCAGGGCCCAGGAACCTGTATTTTTCAAGTTCTACATGGTGCAGTGGACAAACTCCACCCTCCCAGGGAGAAGAAAATATGAAATTAGTCAATGCGACATATACGCAGCCTTCCAAGGGCAAGTTGTAGATTCAAGGCCAAACTTGACTGCCAGGCGAGGTTAGCTGCTGGAAAATGGACTTCTCCCTCCCATAGCACAAGCTTAGTTGCAGTTTAGATCCCCAAGAAATGAGTGCAGGGTCTGTGGAAATGGCCTGGATTCGCATTCTGCCTTGCTTCTGCAGAGACGCTGGCAGCGTCATCTGGACAGAGAGGCCTTGACGGATGTGGGCCTCCAGGAAATGGGGAGGGGGCCTGGGAACTAGCTGGGTGGAATTCTCAGACTCCAGGCCAGTTGCCTTATCTCCCCTCGCAGCCTTACCAAAATGTATGGCCAGGTTGCCAGAAACAATAGGCGCACAAGGCCGAGAGGGCTGGAGTGGCTGAGCGCTCCAGGCACAGACAGCGCGGCTGGTGGAGTGTCCCTGCTCTCCAAAGGCAATCAGGCGGCCTCACCTTAAAGCAAGCAGGACAGCAGCAAGCACCGAGGAGGAGCCCCGATGTCCCCTCCGCTGCTGTGGCCCTCTCCCGGACCACCTCTTCTGCCTTGTTTTGTAGAAGAGGCCCTCTGCTACAAAGTGCCCTTCTAAAACCAAAGGAAAGAGTGGGTAGGGGATACTAGGGTTCAACTAGACCCTAAAGTGCTCTCCGGGGCGGGGTGGGGGGAATCAATCCCAGGCCCATCTGTCTCTAATCCAGTTCCTTCTGGTCATCAGCGTGATAAAGACGGGCACACAGACAAACCCAAGTTCATTTCTTCCCTCTGCCCCACTTGCTAAAGGAAGGGGAGGGGGACTGGCTCCAAAGCAGCAGAAACACATCTTCCGGTGGTCTCTGATCCCCCACCCAAGACCTTAAGTTCAGGAAAACCAACACGCCTTCCGGCCGCCCTCCTCTTTGCCACAGTTCCATTAGTACAAAAATCATAGCATCCACAGCCTCACTGGCTTCCAGGCTTAGATAATTATTTTCTCATTAGTTCCATTCACATTCACCTGCAACCTTCATTAGACACTGCTGTATAAAATGGCTGTCTTTTGGTGCACACAGCCAACTGGGCCACAGCATGGCCAGCTCTCCCTCACCCTCTCCAGCCACAGGGGACCGGGAGTTGAGGCTCTGCTCTCCAGTGCGGATTCTGGAGGACACTGCATGGGGGGCGGGAGGTCTGCAGTCCTGCACCCTTCCTAAAACTCCCCTCCCCCTGCCTCCTGAGCACCCACCATTAGCAGGCCAGTGATCCGAGTTGACAATTGTCATCTTCCTGTGCCTGGGAACAGGCATGGGAGGATCACACGGGCCTGGCAGGGCAGCTTGGGAACCTGGACAGTCTGCAGGCCTCGCGCCTTTCCATAATCACCCAGGGGATGTCCTGGCGCTGGGGCTGATGACCCCGGTAGTCACGCACGTCCTCCATTCCTTCAGCGGCACTTGGTGACATGAATTCTCTAGTTCCTAGTCTTCAGCAGTGACGCAAACAAAACCCGTTCCTATAGGACCGACAATGTACGATGAAAAGACACATGAAATTGGTGATATGGGGCTGTCTTTAACCAACAAGAGCCACCATTTCACTTGGTTCATCTTGACACACGGCAGGCAAAAAGTAAAAAGAGACAACACGCAAGGCCTCGAACATGTTCGAGAAGACAGGAATGGGCAGAGAGCAGAAGGGGGGCTATGTGTGCTGGAGGCAGTGGGTGGGGTCTGTTCCTGCAGCCACGGCCCAACCAGACCTGCAGCTGAGCTCTAGGTGGAAGTCTGTGCTGGCCCGGGTGAGGACCGGAAGGACAAAGAAGGACAACACCAGCGCACGGAGAAGGTGGCATTTCCCAGCACCTGACTGAGAGCAGGGAACGCTGAGAAGCCCTTTGAGGCAGGGGTGAGGCCCTTCCCCAGATGACCTGCTAAGCAGTGGGCCAAAGCTTCACAGCTGCAGCCTCTCCCAGCTTCTCCCCCAAGCTCTTCCTCTCCCAAAAGGGGCTGATGAGATGCCAAAGGAGCCCCAGCTGGGACATGCGCAGGCCCCTTTCTAAGGGACACACATATAGGACAAGCAGTCCTGCTGTGTGTCCCCAGCTTGCCCGGTCCTGGGCTTCCAGGAGTGGCTGCAATCCCTCTTCCCCAGTGCAGCTTTCAGAGTGACACCTGCCTTTGGAGCCAGAATTGGTTAGAGTGCTGTCCCCAGCATCCTCCCTCTGTGGTCACTCTCCAGTTGCCCAGCTTCTTGGAGCCTCTGCCTGCCCTGTGGAGGGGGGAGACTCCTGGTTTAAGTCCCGGCATGATGGTCTGAGTACAGAGACCTTGCAAAGCATGTCAAATACAAAGAGTTCCGTCTGGGTTCATTGGTTCGGGCTGTTGGGTGGCTGGGGAGGTTCCTTGAACCGAAGTCTGCTGGTGTCTGCGCCATCCCGCACAGCGCTATGTCCAGGTTTACCTTAAAACCTCCAGAGGATGACCCACTGACCTTCCAGAATCATCTCTACAGACCAGCAAAACCTCGGGCTCCTCAGGAAGTGGCCTTTCCCAGCTCCAAGTCCACATCTAAATGAAAGTTGGAGGGAAGGAGATTAAGTAGGCTTTCTAGCTGAGATAAATTAACAAGCGAGGAGATGTCCATCACAGAGCTCTCGAAGGGAGGCAGAGCAGCAGCCAGCACCAGCCCTGTAAGCAAGCGCTCTGGGCATTCTGGAGGCCAGTGGGAGGCAGGGACCCAGGAGATGTGCTTCTGTATGACAGTGACTCTGCAAATGTTGCCCTCAGCCCGCTCGGCTGAAGTTCTTTGTCCCAATTAGGAGAAACCATTACGCCTGCTCCACTGGACCCCTCCTGCGTGCATCTGCGATGTAATTTAAAGACCCCTTGCACTGAAGTACCCTGGAAGCAGCATCACCCTCTCCTGTTAACCAGGGCTTAGATCACAGATCTTTCGGGAGTAGTATGGGGGAAAGTCACCCCTTTGCTCGTGGCTGGATCTGTTTGTCTGTGACATCTCTGAGAAAGGGCTGCAGGCAGGTGTTGATCCAGCCAAACCTTGGAGCTCATTAAGGGCTTCCTTCCCAGCTCAGGACTCCCAGCACTTCAGGTATAATTGACACTAGAGAATGGACAATACATTCTAAAATGGAATGGAAAATATCCTTTAAAATGGAATAGAAAGTGAAGGTCATCGCTGCTGTTCAGAGATAGACAGAACAAGCAAGGAGCATGGTGTACTCTGGAGAGACTTTCCCCACCCACCTGATTTGCTGCTCAGCAGAGAAAGTAAAAGCTTGCTGCAAATGCATACTGTCTTCTCCTGTGTTGATCATATTGATTCAGAGCCGAAGAGGCCTGGTCACTGGAAATACATTTGCTAGGGAGGTGGGGTGATGAGTGTAGAGCTGTGCACCCCAAGTTTCATCCACCAAGCTTCCTGCGGCCTGGGTTTCTGCATCCCAACAGGCCTCCCTAATATTTCATTAATAGTGTTTTCTTCCCTCATTTTTTAAACATATGATTGAAAAAGGAACATTTGCACTGCTAGAGTGAAGGGAAAAATCTCGCTCACTGGCCACAAAAGGAAATATCCATACTCAAACTCTGCGATGGCTAGCAGTGTAATAGTCCTCTCCCAGGCCATCTCCGCTGTACTCGGGAAACAGCAGGTTAGAAGTGACAAGTTCCAGCCCCTGACTAGCGGGTGTTGATGCCGTGTTATGGGGGAGACACCAGAGCATCCACGGAACGTTAACAGAGCACAGGACCCTTAGGAAACAACTGTACCAGGAGGGACCCTGAAAGTCAGAGAGCGGCCTGGGCTCCCCAAG